CATTCTTGACCAAACGTTCAATCGACCTCTCCGCCCTGCAGAGCTGTGTACTTCATGTTAAACACGTGGTAGGCTTTCGCGACCAACATCATCCATAATGCGGGTTTTCTGTGTACTTCATTTCGCTCCGCGTGTACACTGCATACCCGGTCGTAAGGGTAGCGGACGAATGTGCCATTTCATCACGGGACCTCCTTTGCCAGTACCAAAATATGAGAATAGGTTTTCTCCTTTTTACTGGCAACAAACAGGTGTTTAGATGTTAAAATACCAGAGGACACCAAAAGGTGCAAAAAGGCGTCCTCTGGTCTAACACCGTTTTGAGACAATGCATATATTATCAAAGTATGTTTTTTGTTTGCATTCTGACCACGAGTATTGTGGCTAATGCAGACATGATTCCTTGTAAAAGGTTTCAGTTTGGTGTTTTAACATCTTAACACAGCTGTTTTGAATGTGCCATTCTTTAGAAATCCCCGTAACTTAACACCCAACGACATTTATTGAAACGCTGGGGGCGGGTGGGTAGGGCGGGGGGAAATTTCCCAAAAATCGATATTGGAAACTCCATCGTGGCATGGTCACAAATCCACATTCGTAACTCTTAGGCGGGTCCCCCCGGGGGAGGAGGGTGGGGGCGTCTCTCTGGGTCCCACTTGCGCTAATTGGCACTCGTCGGCACTAATGGCTCCAAGGCTTGGAACTCCGGCGTGCGCTCCAGGGAAGGAGGATCCACAGCGGAGGGAGGTGCCGCGCCCCGCTCGCTCTACCACGGCGTACGTGCGCGAGGCATTCATTATGTCGCGAAGAAAGTCGCGGCGATTTTCTGCCCCAATGAACATCAGAGGCTGGTGCTCATCTCCTGATCGCATCCCTAAGCGATTGATGGAGATTCCTCATTTCTATAGAAGAGGGTGAGGGCCTATCTCGAGGAGATCAACTGCTGACTTCTCCGCAGTGCGAGTACTCAATTTGTCGACCCCAGAGAGATGATGGGAAGAGTCAACCACCCCCCCACCCCCCCACCCCCCCCTCCCAACCAGGAATTTAACTCATAACCTCTGCTGCGAAGGCACCTGGCCAGATAACATTCTTTAATGGAGAGAAGGATGCTATGAAAAGATTGCGACGGAGCGATTCTACATTGGCTGATTTACAATGAACGGTTGACGCTCGCACGCGTTCGTGCGAATCAGCGGCGGCGGCAGCGGTGATGCGGGGGGCCCCGGCGCGATCGGTGGCCACGAGGAGCGCGGTCGCTCGCTTGACGCCAAATAGCGAGCGGGGAAGTCTGACGTGACGACGTGGTTGGGAATGCACGGACGTGGTTTTCTTGTTTTCTTGCTCTTTTTAAAAAACTGGACCCAGGGAAGCGAACAAACGTAGAAGTACGAAAAAGTTTGCGCGTAGAAGAAGACAACCTGATGATGCGGGCAGAGATGAGAAGGAAAATGGCACTGTTTGGACACGCATATAATAGGATGGATAACAACAGGAAAACTAACAGTGAGTTGTTCGGAAAAAATGGAAGGAACCAGAAAGAGACCTCACAGAGAATGGCTTGACGACGACATCGCAAGAGATCGGTTGGGGGCGTGGGGGGCATGAGGAGTGTGGGGGGCATGAGAAGTGTGGGGGGCGTGGGGAGTGTGCTTCCGGGAGGGTAGTAATAATGAAAGCCCTTTAATCTTATGCAGCGTCATTCATGCTGAAAGCATCCCATAACGCTGTACATTCATTATATTAAAGGACTAAATCTTGCATGCAGCCACTACCAAGCAAATGAAAACCCTCCTACAAAGAAAAATCAAAAACGAATAATGAATCAAACGAGGTAATGGCAGCTGTTGACTGCAGTGTGCAGCTCTCACCGTTTGACCTCTTAACACCTCGTTTGTGGTGCTGAAATATGCCACCGATAGCGAGACCTCGGAACGAATTCGGTAATGACCGTGGCATTGCATCTCCCGCTGTAGCATAGCAGGAGGTGAAAATGTGACAGCTTGTGAGAGGCTTGACAGGCTGGATAAGTGGCATTTCGAGTCGTAATTTTTACACAAACTGGAAAAGGAAAAGCTCGTAGACTGAGCTGATGGCTTTGATAATTATTGCAGGCCGCCCCTTCCACCTGGGACATTACCTGCCTGCAGGCTCGGGGCTTCTAGTTTGGTGGCGTGAGTTATGGGGAAGGGGGGGGTGGTGGTGACTGCATTGGATGCCGAATGCGTTTTGGTTATTAGCCAATGTCACGGCGCGTACACCGCAAGGATTTCATTCAGAATTTCGCGCATTTTTGCGATGACTCATCGCCGGAGCCTCCGCGTTTACGTTTGTTAATCACGCCTTGGAATTTTGAATCGCGGTAATCTCCCGTCCACGCCTTTATCGCATCACCGTTCCCCGCCACGACCTCCCCAACTCCCTCGTTGTTCCGAACTTCAGATGATCCAGCAGGCTGCTACTAGACTTCTCGCCCGCACCCATGAACGAGGACACTTCACTCCCAGTATTCCAATGCCAAGCCGTAGCTCGCCACGCTCTGGTGGCTCGCTCGCTGCTTTGTTTACAACAATTCGGTCCACGGCACGGTTCCAAACTCTCCACCTGTGTGTACGTGTAATGACGACTTGACACACTTCTCTTGAGATGGCACTTTATTGAAGACACGTTCACTTGATGTCAGGCGGAGACCCCCACTGCAACAGCCTCGAGTCTCCCGCACATCTCCCTTTTATACCGACACGAGGCCACGCCCCCCTCCTCGATCTTCTCGCTGACTCTGGACGCTCGCTCCACCGGCAGGCTCCACCGTCCTCTTCCGTCACCTGACCACGCTCCCTTCTCGAACATTCCCGTAGCCACCAGTCCCTTCGGACTCACAACTGATGCCCCCGGCATTACCTCCCGTGGCTACTAGTCCCCTCACACCGCATGCAGGCTCTATTGTCATTACATATGTATGCAGAACTTCTTTTGCAACGTGCATAGCCAACAGTGCTAATCGGAGGTGCGGGGAAATTGAAGATGTTTCGGCTAAAACCGTTCATGAATTTTACCAACAATAGTTGTTTAATTTTCCAATACGGAATTTACAGGATATTCTATGATGTTAAAAATGAAGAAGACGTTAAGCGTAATCCATCCTCTGCTGTGTTCAAGGACTGAATGGTTTCTCCAATGATTAACTTTAATAAAATAGCATGTATTCAAGAACTTGGTAATCAATAGAAAGTATGAGCAGTTTAAACTTGCTTCCAATACAATCCCGAATCAACTTCACAACTGTTCTCGCCATGTTAAAGATCGTCCATGAAATCTCCCCTCGTCTCACTCTACTCTCCCCCCCTCCCCCCCCTCTGCGCACACTCTTGGCTCCAGCGACCGAGGCATTCTGTCGAAGCCCACAGTCATCCTTCGCCGAACGGGAGGGTCGTTCATTCTCCTCTGCTGGTTCCATAGTCCGGAATTGGATGGGGGGGGGGGCTTCCTTTCCCCAGCCACCAGTGCCGTTGACTCAAAATCCAGCCCCCAGATCTTCCGCTTTCTCCTTTGCCTTTGACTGGCAGACTCTTCTCACCGATTCTCGCTGCGACGTAAATTTTCCCACGGTTTGTGTACGGCGCTTCGAGATGCGGTGGCATTTAGACGCTGCGTACATTCGCATTGCATTGGAACAAAAAAAGAAGAAACCCCTGCAATGCAGGCAGGCAAGCACAGCAGATACTCTGAAATATGATATAGAGCTCAGGTGTAACCATGGCATAGCCACCGCTGCATGGCGGTGTTTAACTGGCGATGCAGTAGTTGGCATTCGAACATGGAATGAGGGGGCAAAACTCCCCCACTGAACACACTCTCTTCCTCTTAGCCAGAAGTTCCATTGCTGCACTAAACTAAATTATTTAATATTTTTCCAGGTGAGGCCCACTGACAGAGCTACATAGCTCTTTTGCAGAAGCGACCTGGCCACAAATGATATTCCAATGAAGTGGCTTATCTCGTGGAAGTGTATAGCAGCCAAACACTCGAAACGCACGTTTTTTAAATGTGGAGGGAAAAACCGGAGGACACGGAGAAAAATCCACGCGGCCACGGGGACAGAGACATGCAGGCTCAAAATATATAGCAGACGTCAGGTTCGAGATCAAACTCATGACCTCCTGTATGTCAGGCAAGGCAGTTAACATCTCGCCACCACGTTGGGCAGGGAGTCCGTTGCTCGGATTTTCTCTCTCCATGAGCTTCTCGTCTGCGTCTCTTCTCGAGTCGCGTCTCATACCTCGTCCCACCGCATCCTCCCATCCCTCGCTCGGTCCCCTCCTGCTCCTCCCTCCATGCACTGGAGGCATCTACACGGCTCTTCTCATTGCGTGTTCTCTGTCTCTTCTCAACACGTGCCTCAACACGTGCCTGAACCATCTGAGTCTCGCCTTCCAGGTCTACGCAAGAATATTAGTTACCCACCCTCTATCTACCAATGGGTAATTGTTATTATGCTAAAATAAGACAGTTATAACGTGGTACCATTATAAAATGAACATTTCTACCAGTGCCCCGTGGTTTATAGTGCAGTCTTCAACGAGAAATGCACTCAGTTGCTCTGGCCTCTCTCTATATCTTGGCTATAAGGTAGAGCCACTTCCCAAAACGTCAGCTGTTATACAACCTTTCCTCTTTCAGCAGTGTTATCGTCAAATGCTTGTTGAGTGTGTTTTTTGTTTGTTTTATATATATACATACATATTTTTTGTATCTTCTATTTTCCAAGAAAGCAAACAGAAACGCACCAGCAGGACTCAAGGGCTCACCGTGTCAGCAGTAAAACAACCAGAGTTGTTATCTAGCGCAGGAGAGAGAGGGAGAGAGAGGGAGAGCTGCGGACGAGAACGTGTGGAGCTTTCCGCGTGTACGTTGAACTCGCTTGGCACCGTGCGTAGCCAACCGTGCTAACCGCGGCGCCCCACGTGCGACCGCGTGTGATGTTTGGCCTCCTCCCGCAGGTGCATAACATGATGGCGTCAGGGGCAGCCGGCGTGCTGGTCTACGCCAAGCCCGGGGCCAGCCTGCAGGACATGAACTGCGTCGGGCGGGAGTGCGACACGAACATCAACATTCCTGCCACCATGGTGCACGACAACCCCGACGTCACGGCCCAGATGAGGTGCGCAGCGCAAATCCCGCTGACGGAAGACGCACAAGGCCCCATCAACGTCCAGTGGCGTAGCCTGGTGGCGTGGGCCCTGGTACGAGGAATTAAATGCCACCCCCCCCACCCCCCCCCCGTCCTGTGCAATTTCCCGTGTGCACCGGTGCAGTCAAAGTGCCTGCACAGCCGCGGTGGTGATCCCGACGTAGATGCCTGTATATTAGGAGTTTGCATGTTCTCCCCGTGGTCGTGTGGATTTTTCTCTGGGTGCTCCGGTTTTTCTCTCAACGTGCGTTTAGAGTATTTGGCTGCTCTACATTTCCACGTGATAAGCCATTTCGTTGAGCTGTCATTTGTGGCCAGGTACAAGGAGCTGTATAGCTCAGTGGGCCTTACCTGGTGAAATAAAACTAGTTACGTTATTTGACATTTTTCCACTTCGCAGCAAAGCGGCGTGCAAAACGCCGCTCGTGCTTATTATCGCCATGTCGCTTGACTCGACGCCCACCGTGGATTGTAGCGGTGTCCAAATTGTGGCGTTACACCAAAGTGCCTGCGGTTCTCTCACGAGACTCGTTTTGCTGCCGCGTGATGAACGTGTTTAGCCTTCGTCAAAATGAAATTAAACACTTTGTCACTTCTCTAATTTGGCTGGGAAGAAAAAGGCAAGTTACTTGGGGGGGGGGGGGACGTGCTGATTAAAATGAAACATGCAAGAGCGTTGCCCATCGTCAGACCCTAGGGGATCTGGTGTTTGGACGAACACATGCCGGCCTGACGGATAACTCGCGTGGAGATCTTTCTGCAAAAAAAAATTCTCTTGCACTTTAACTATTGAAATCTGGTATAGCGGAATATGAATAAACAGGGGTCACTCGGCGTACACGAACGCAAGGATGAGGTCGTGGCCGCGCTCGCTCGCGCGCGCGTCACGTGTGGACGTGACGCGCGATCGCGTGGCTCGCCACGGCCGGAACGGGCGCGGACCCACGAGGCAGCCGGCAACATGGCCCGGTCCATCTGGCCCTCTCCGTGAAGCCAGCCAGAGCCTGGTGGCACATGGGGATGAAGTGGGAGATTTGTTGTTCAATTTAAAAGAATTGCGATGAGTTGTTTGTTGCGCTGTTTAATTTGTACCGGATGGGAAATCGCCGCGGTAATCCGGGAAGTCACCTTTTCGTTTCGATCTCTCGGCATGGCATTTGAGATGATGAAGTCAAATTTCTTTCAATCCCCCATCCACTGACCCCCTCCCCTCTCATCTGTTCAGTTGGTGTACGTGCTCAGGTCAGGTTGCAAAATATGTGGGTACTCCTACCTCCACCAAGATGTCCGGCCAGCGTGAAAGAGTAGACCAAAATACTCACTGGAGGGGGGCCTCTAGAGCTCCCTCTGGTGAAGGCCCTCCCGCCAGCAGTGGTGTGAGCAAGCAATTCCCAGGATGCACCATTACCTTCCTGCCCCCCCCCCCCCCCCCCGCTTTTGGAGGCTGTGATTGTTTATTCCCATATCTTAGCGACATCCTTCACAGTGCCACTGTGGTAAATGTACACTTACCCCGAGCCAGCCTGTCAAACTAACGATAGTGACTATGTTTTATTTTGTCCAAGTAACGCCCACTGAGCTACATAGCTCTTTTTCAGATGCGACCTTGCTATCACAAATGATAGCCCGACGAAGTGACATTTATCGCAGCCAAATTCTCTAATGTGTGTTTCTAAATGTGAAGGGACAAACCTGAGCACCCAGAAAAAAAAATTCCATGCGACCACGGGGAGAACATGCAACTCAAATATACAGGTGTCAGGGTCGAGATCGAACCCACGACTTCCTGCGTTCCAGGCGAGGTAGTTAACATCTCGCCACCACGGCGAGATGTCAAGAAGCTGTCACGAATGCCCCGACTGCACGATGCGCAGGACACGCTCGACAGTAGCACACCTCTTTGCTGGTACGGCGCCGTCGTTTATAAACATGAATCACACGCTGACGATGTTGGCAGAGGTCACTTTCCACCCACCCCACCCCCGTCAAGCCATGCAGAGAATGAGCCGTCTGCCTTCTGCGCTAAACTGCGCACTCTACCGATTGGACGGCACACCGTACAGTGCTGTCTTGCGATAACAATGCATCCAAAATAAAATTTTAAAAATTAAGAAAACGACCAAATACATAAAGTTCCCCAGGGAAGTTGGCTGCCGAGAGAAGTCTCTGCGGCAGCCGTGCCAGCTGGGCAGCAATGGCCTCCATCCATCCCTCCACTCCCTCTTGTCGTTGATCATTCTGAGTCCAATCAAGCCAATTGTATGCACAAGACTCGGAGCAGCTTCTGTCGGGTTGTGGCGGCGCTATGAACGCAGCGACACGAGTTCATTTCCCGACCACGGCGAACATCGGTAGCGAGTGACATTTGAACCCTGAACCGGTCCTGACCACTACCCCCTCGCCCTCCCCACTTCACCAACCCGCAATAACCAGCATGTTGAAGTATGGTCAAGCAATGCTCAGGACCGACACATCATATGGAAGTTCTCATCCAGTCGAGGATTAACCCAAGGGCTGGAAATTATTAATGTTACATGATTATAATTTCTGTATTGCGGTTGTTATAAGTTATAGCATGGTCTACGACTTCATCTGGAAGCTGCAGCTACTTTAAATTTCGTAGGTGGAGATCCAGAGCAAGGAGGAATAACGAGAGGCACATGCCGATGATAATGCACGGAAGCTGCGAATCGTATAACTTTGACTGCACATATCTGTCAAAGCTACACTGCATTCTATAGAACCGCGACAAAGTAAAGATAGCTTTAGTGTTGTGCCGACTCAACTGCTGGTTTCAACATTTGTGTAAAGATCTCGTGAGCAAAATAGTTTCTTTTCCTGTCTCGCAAGTGCTTTACGCGAAGCACCTACGCTTGGGAACTTTCGCTTCTCTTCTGGAGATTAGTTTCGCCGCAAGAACACAATGTATTCACCCGGGCTCAGAATCACACTTTACAAAGTTTACTCTTCCACTTCCTATTTGCACGGCCAGTTCACACGTTCCGTGGCACAGGTGGGTTTACCCCGGAGCCGGCCACGAATCAATTTACTTGCCCGTGCGGCACCGTCTCCCTCTGTTTGATCGCATTACTCTTGTTGATACAAAATAAAAAGTTCCTCCTCGCGTCGCTAAAAGTAATAAACCGCTGCTAACCCCTTTCTCGCCACGGCAGAGCCGGGGTCATGGTGAACGTCACCTTCCAGCACACTCCGTCGCCCGCCTTCTTTTTTGCCATCGACCCGCAAGGCCGGCTGGCTGAGACCGGCTGGTTCCTGTACCCGAGTTTCAACTTCCTGGCGTGGCAAGCCCAGTGGTGAGGCGTCGGGGCCGTAGCGACGGTCGATTCCTCCGCCCTTGGTGAACGCGTCAGCGCATCGTCATGCGCGTGGGAAATACATTTTCGCGCGCGCCCAGTGTTTTGGTGATGGGTTCCCACGATGTCCGCTACGTTCACAATATAAGCAAAATTATAATTCCATTTCGATAATATTTTATTGGTGGTATCGCCCCCCCCCCTCTGTTCCTCCCCACCACCCACCTACCACCTGTGAAAAGTAGTTCAGGAAAGCAGATATCCCAGACCTACTTCTAAATTCCACCAAGTGACTACTGGTCTACACAGCAGGGGGCAGCACTTTCCCACCAGTTCAGTTTTGTTGTTAGCGAAGTGGACCTCGCAGAACTACTGCTGAAAATCCCTTCACCTGCGCTGCACAGCAATCCCTCCTCAGTGCTCTGGGTGTGTTGCTGCGTGTCCAGGTTCAACTACCTGGGTGGGCTTTACATGCGACTGGCCGACAGAGCGAGCGTGGTCAGCGTGTTGGACAACGCGGTCATGCAGGGCGAGGACGGGGCGTCCGCCACGGTGCTGCTGCCTCCCGGTGGGCTCTCCCGCTCGCCCGCTCTCCCGCTCGCTAGCCGTCACGCGCCCCCACGTTCCCGCACATCCCAACGGTGGCTTCGCCCACGCTCGTTGGCACCGTTGCAGAAAGCGGTGTTGCGTTTTTTTGTCACGTTGTCCACACAAATACAAGCTGTCCTCTACTCATCTTCTTGGTTCTTTCGGTAAAGTCACGTAGAAGGGAAGTAACAAAATAATAAAAATAAAACACAACAAAACAATTCTCACGACGTTTCGGCCACAACACAAGCAGCCGACGGCTGCTTGTGTTGTTGTTTTTATTTTTATTATTTTGTTACTTCTTTTCTACGTGACTTTACCGAAAGAACCAAGAAGATGAATCCCTGCAGTCACGAAAGCTTTAAATCGAAATTTGTCCTCTACTCGTTCAACACCCATCCGTACGCTTGGCACATCTAAACTTGACTGCTGTGACTCTCCTCCATGGCCTCCTTTGTGGCCTCCAGAAAACGCTGCTGCCAGAATTCTCACTCGCACCTGTAAAAGTGACCACACCACTCCATGAGTCCTCTGATCCCTCCACTGGCTCTCAGTCAAATGCAGGAAGTGTTCGAAACTCGAGCTCAAATTCTTTAAGATCCTTCGTGAACTCACCCTCCTGCCTGCCGCTCTCCTCCCATCTCACTCTGCTCCATTCCACATACTCTCCAACCTCTCATCTCACTCTGTCCCTTCATGCACTCTTCACTTCAGCAACCGAGGATTTATCACGAAGCTCCGTGTTTACATTTGCTCCATCCTGCCCCTGTTCAACTCTAGATTTAAGACCTTCCTCTTGTTCTCTGTCTATGACTAACTTCGCCTTTCTCTCTACTCTATGATATATATGGCCACGTGCTATGTAGCAGAGTCTTCAATTGCCATCGCACAAATCCAAACTCCAGTGCGTTGTAACGAGAGCCCAGAACAGGAGTAGAAAGCTCCGTGAAGGGAGATGGAAGCTTTTTGAACAACAACAACAGCAACCAAAACATCTGCTTTCACAATCGTTGAACGCTTGCACGTTCACGGCCACAAGCGCTGCTCTGGAAGAGGAATCTTGGCGCAATTCACAGAGCCCTCTCACCGCGCGCTTGGCCAGCGCAGGTCCAAACCTGTATCCCCTACGCACCTCGACGCAAACAGAACCCCCTCGCCCACCCCGCAATTCCCCGCTGAAACATTCCCTTGTTGCTGTCATAGCAGAGCGACGATCGATATGTTATTCATTTGAGCGTGCAAAATGTCCCCGCGTTTTTATTTTTGTTAACTCTGCAAGTACAAACTGCAACGGCCCAGATGCAACTAGCCGTGTGCCACCTTCACCTTGCGGCGTTCGCAACAGGTGAATTGTCTCTAAATTATCATGCAAAATGACTGTTTAATTCGCCGTACGAATAGCCTTGCGCATGCATGTGTGTGTGTTGAACGTCTTTCGTGCCGTCCGTAGTCAACCGCGCTAATTGGAGGTGCGGGGGAAGGACCACAAACTAAACACAGAAAACGGTTAGAAAGAAATGCGTTTTCAATCAAGATGTTTTAAAAGTGCATAGCTCCCAGTGGCTTTCCAATATCCGAAGGGAAGAGCGTGCCAGACGGCCGCGGAAGCACATCTGAAAGCACGTGTGACACCTGCACGTCAGTCAATCGCCGTGAAATCAATGAGCAAGCTTTGTCTTTACGCGCACGCCCACCTCCCGTGTGGAAAAGGGGACAGCATTTGAAGTGCACCCTGCGGCCCACACGTTAATGGGTTTTGTTTGTTACACAAACGTGGGTTTGCAATCCATGCAGGGCGATCCATTCCGATGCTTTGACCGTCGCTCGTAATGTACTTTTAGGCCTCTCCATGGGAGTCAATTCACCCGCGAATGATTTTTACAGCCCACTAAATACGTTAAGTAGATGCAAAGTAAATCAATATATTTGGGACCCGATCTGCGTTTCGTACGCACAAATCGATAGCGAGAAATATCGCGTTTGCTGCAATTAAATAAATGTCATCGCCAACACGCGGAGAGCGGCAGTCGTTGAATTTTAACGATGGCGATCGCAGCGTTCGACGGAAGCTCGTCGTTACAAATGATTTCAGGCGTCCTGTGAAGGTGTTTTAGGTGTTGGCCGCTTCAGAAATTTGCGCTGTCGTTCTCGAGACGTTCACTCGTTTTCTGCCGGATCTTTCCGTCGCTCGTTTTGTTTCAATGAAATATTTACCGTGTGAAATTGCAAACTCAAGAACGTAACGGTTTACATAGCCTTAACTCGTGTAATTAATGATTGTGAAATGTGAAATGTTTTGACGGCGCACGGCGATTGCCGTCTATGATGTCTTCACTTTCGCGGTTTAATTATTTGGTGTAACTGACAGCGTTTGTGTCGCGAGCGTTCGAGATTCTAACGATTAGAAATGCACTAGGATTGGCTTACGTGGAATATTTATCTCATAACAAATCACACTTTTTGTGATACTGCATTGACAGTGGCTCATAAAAAAAAAACATTTGACAGTAACATTGCACTATAAAGGGATGTTTTTATAAGTAATAATAACGATAGGTGAGTTTTTGGACAAAGGAAGATAGAGCCTGTGAAGAAGGTCTATTGTCCGAAACGTCTCCAGTTACTCCTGCAGTGTAGTTTACACAGTGGCGATCTCCCCCCTATTCCGGATATTTTGACGGGGGTCTCCTTAAAAAAGTATTAATCAGACGCAGGCTTTCCTTGGTAAACGAGTGTAATGATGACGATAAATGTATTCACTTCTACTGGAAGTACAGTAAAGCACAAAAACAATACGGTAAAACACGTGACGTACAATTTACAGTCGTAGGAATCTAATTCCGCGATAGTCAACACGTCGTGAAAAGGAATGTTATCAGAATTTGAATGTTTATTTATACTGGAGGAATCCGATGAGCTATAAAGCTCTGTCGGGTCAGAACTTTACAATTAAAAACAATATAAAAACACGATAGGAGTTCAACGTATAGGAAAGGTAAACAAATCATAAAAAAATACAAACAAAACTCAACGTTTTTTTTTTCTAAGCTGCTAAAGCCTACTGAGCTATTAACTTATTTTTCAGAATCGACCTGGCCACAAATGATATCTCAACCAAGCGGCTTATCATGTGGAAATGTATAGCTGCAAAATAATCTAAATTGTCTAAACGCATCTCGATTTCAAATGAGGGAAATACTGGAGGACCTGGAGAAAAAAAATCCACGTATGTACGTATGTTGAACTTCTTTCGCACCGTACGTAGCCAACCGCGTTAATCGGAGGTAGCGGAATGACGTTACGGTCACGATCGACGCGCCGGTGACGTTGCGCTGCAGACCTGCTCACGTACAACGCGCTGGAGCTGGAGCTGGCGCTGTCGTGCCCGGGCGACCGGGACGAGGCCTGCGCCCCGTGGGACCACACGGTGCACCTCAGCGTCTGCTGCTCTCCCGACGGGGAGCTGTGCTCCACGGAGCTGGGGAGGTGGATCACTCCGTTCCGGAGGTGCGTCTCCAGCCAGCCCGCCCGCCCGTGCGGTGCGCGGTGGCGGTAACGGGCACAGCCCAAGACTCGCGATTCCAGAGGTTTTGATTCGATCTCGCAGTTGAAACCGACGGTTGAAACAACGGTGCCGGTTTCTTAAATCTCCGCCCTGCGGTGCAAATGGGTTCACGGCATTAAAGTCGATGGGCAGGTCACACGCGGTGGGGTAAAGCGTGGGTGCTCCCACCTTTTACAAGATGGAAGAGTAGGCCAAATGCCCTCTAGAGGGGGCTCTCTAGAGCTCTAGAACTCCCTCTGGTGGAGTCCTCATCTGCTCACTGCAGCAGTGGAGTGAGCAAAGTAATCGCAGGGCCTGTGCCTTTACCCTCTCATCCTGTGTCAGGTCACCGGTTGAAAAAGATGCAACCAGAAAACACTCATTTTGCAACCAGAAAAAACTCATTTTGGCCGCTTACACTGGTCAACAAAAAAAAATCTGGCCTGGACTTTTGCAGCTGTTTTAAACTAATTTCAGGGTGCTGATTTCAAATCTGATCTTAGATTTGCTCTATCACATCATTTTTATGCTATCGGCATACCCAATTTTCATTGATTTTACCCCAAATTAACTGTCACTTATGATTGCAAGTTGTTGCGAGTCAGTGACTGCTTTAGTGTTAAAATATGGTGCTGTATTTTTAGGATAGTGTGTTTATAATATCATTTTAAGTAGATATCCACATTTATTTAATATTTTTCTTCCGCAGTTTTTATTGAAAATGCAATATTTGATATCTCAAAAACCTGTGATAGACGAAAACTGATGCCAGATTTGGAATCAGCACCCCAAAATTACATTAAAACCGTTGGAATACCTTATGCCAGAAAAAGTGTGTTGACCAGTGTTGTCTTGGACATGCGTCCCCAGGCTGTGTCCCAGGCTGAGCCTGAAGTCTTGTTAACGGGCTAAAGACTTTTACAGCACAGGTCAAGCACTCTATCATTGCACCGAATTGACGTGCCGTTGAATTGACGCAAGTACTGGAGTGATGTTAGCAGAGTGCCTCAACGGTGCATTTGACCGTGACTTTATAATTATAGAGTTTTACCGTGCACGAATCCGCAAACCTGTGTCGGACACTCTGGTGTGTAGCAGCAAGACAAGATCTGCTTGCCCTGTGTGTTGTTTTCCTTTAAGCGGACACCAGTCACCGCATGCTGGAATCCAACTGCTCCAGAAAAGTTAATGAGTTCATGTGCATTGTTCAGTGAGTGTTATTATTAATTTGCTGTACATTTGGACAAAGTGATTTGTGGTTTTGGGTTGTGGGATCAGGTCTCTCTCTCGGCAAGAGTAAATGCTACAATCATCCATTCACATTCGGAGTGCACGTTGCTCATGAAAAAAATATTTCAAATTCTTGCCTGGGCCTCGTCTCCACGCATGGATAAGTAACCGGGATTTGCCCAACGTGATTCATCCCCGTGGACTCGGCGGACAGGGCTTTGATCCAGAAACACGATACATAATTAATAAGACTCTCTCTCTCTCTGTGTGTGTGTATGTGTGTGACACATTGACAGCTTTCCCACTGACATCCTGGGCAAGTCCCATCCTCGTCACCATTCAGCTGCCACTTCAATACCGCACTGGGGACGCGGCGTCAGTTCCGCCCAGTTGCCACCAGGGTGCAATCGTTACTTTTTTTCCCCCCAGAGCGTGATTGAGGCTTCTAACCCAAGACAGATGCGTCAGACTCTCTGCAGTACCTTGTCTCTTTCTTGATGCCATGTCTCATTTCTCCCCCACCCCCTCCCATATCCTTGTTTGTAGCAGGTTGGGGAAAACTTAAGAATACTAAAAAAAAGTTTCGTCAAAGGCTGTATCCAAAGCAAGTGTGGGGTAGCTGTCGAGTGTGAAGGCGGTGCAACTGCACCAGGGGGCCAACATCTGGCCAGAGGGGGGCCCGGGTGCTGGGCTATGAAGAGGGCGATGATTGGACAGGGCTGCCCCCCCCCCCCCCCATTCTATTCCTCACATCAGAGGCCATGCCAACCATGCTATGCCAAGAGCCGCCATGGCACTGCAATCGATAGCAGATGATTGTATTATTTCCTGCACGTAGGATGGCACCGTCGGTGGAACGAGGAACGAGGGCCCGAGGACGTGAAAGTAAAACAAAAAGATTCGCTCGATAGCGTCAGACAGGATTGTCTTGGTCTGGGAATTACACTCCCAGGAGTGGACAGGCCATCGACAGAAATGGACGCCGCTGTGAAGGTGGCCTTGAGTGGGCTACCACCGCGAGTCGACGTATCGGTGTCTCCGGGGGTAGTAAGCCATGAGGTGAAGACGTGAACCGGGCAGGTGGAGTGGTCACACTGCGCTGTGGACCTAGCCTCCCGACTTCGATTCCCTGCCACGGATAACGTCGGAGGCGAGCGACATCCGAATCAATCCTGGCCCACCCACCCCTTCATCGGGCAATACTGTCCGGCGTGGTGAAGAATAGTCAAACGACCCCTTCCCATGCTGTCGTGGCACAGGGATACCTGCTTCCAGCAGTGGATTGACAGTGGGGCTGTATTTGTGTGTGCGTGCACCTGGCGTGCGGTCGGCGCGCACCCCCTGATGGGCCCCTCGATTGTGCTCGCTGCAGGCGCGTGGGCCACTGGCTGACGGACGTGTCGCCCCTCCTGCCCTTGCTCGACGCTCGCACCTGCAACCTGACGCTGAGGACGGTGCCCTGGGCCAAGCCCTGGAGGCCGACGCTCAACCTGCGCTTCTCTCGCCGGACGCAGCTCCCCGGTGCGTAACAACGCGGGTCGTCCGTTCGCGACGTTTGTGGTCCGGGCGCGGGCCATGGCGTGAACGGATCCCTGGGCCAAATAAGGTATTTGTTGGCGCCCCTTGAGAATAATGACCTGGAATTGTGTCCGTACCTGTGTATATTTATGTACATATATATAAACAACTCATTTATGTATGTTGAACTTCTTTCGCGCCGTACGCAGCTAATCGGAGGTGCGAGGGAAGGGCAGCAAACTCAACACCAAAATCGGTTCTAAAGAAAAGAGTTTTCAATCTATATTTAAAAGTGCATAGCTCCAGTGGCTTCCTAATATTGAAAGGGAAGAGCGTTCGAGACGGCCGCAGTAGCGCACCTGAAAGCGTGTGATGCTGTTCAATGGCGAGACAAAAGCCGCTGGTGCGAGGATGGCCGGAGTTTGCTTGGTGATGCTAGGTGGATCCTTAAATCACAGGATCGTGAGAGATGGTGGAGGCTTGGGGAAGTCTTCATACAGCAGTGGATTGATATTGGCTGGTGATGATGATTATGCGCATATTGAGACCAGAGTTCTTATTTTTGCAAGCGTAAACATCGGTTTAAATAAGTGCAGCAAACCGACGAGATTCCAAATACAATAATGTAATTATCATTGTAAAATATTGGCAACATTATTGGGAAAATGTCAAAACTGGGTGGTTTTTAACTTTTGCTGACAAAACTGGATCCCAAATGTCAAAACTGGGTGGTCTTGGAAAACGACAGGCAAAACAGGGTGGTGCTTTTTGATATGACAAAACTGGGTGATGTTCAATGTGGACAAATGTCAAAACTGGGTGAAGAAGGTGTACGATTTAATGTATCATTTTGTACACGTTTAGGTCCTTGCGTTATTCATCCATATGTCGCCACAGATTTAGAGCGTTCCAAATGATGTTTCTCGTGGCTCATGTTCCATACCTTGCACCACAAACTTCCCGTTTGCATACTGGCACAGTGTGCCAGCTCGCTTACTTGCCGTTTGTATACTGGCACAGTGTGCCAGCTCGCTACTACAGTAACACTTACTTGCCATATGTATACTGGCACAGTGTGCCAGCTTGCAACTACAGTAACACTTTCAGCTCGCGAACATACACGAACTTGCCATTTGTATACTGGTACAGTGTGCCAGCTTGCATGCTACACCTACTACAGTAGAACAACGGTAGATAGTGTTTGCGTCGAGAAGTATGGTGCTGCACACTTAGAACAAAACATGTTTGTTACATATATATAACTACTTCGACGGGCAAGAGCGCTTGTTGTGGCCCTTGGCGCGACAGAAGGAGCACCGCGTGAGGCCCAATGGGCCACCTTCGCCACGGTTGCGAATCCGACGCTTCGGGCGGCCAGCCTTCTTCTGGCGAGGAGGTGGCATCATGGTGTTGTCGCGTTGCAGCTTCTCGGCAATGGGCAGCTCGATACCGGCAACCGAGGTCCATGTCGTGTTGATGGCAGAGACTTGGTAACACACCGCACATGCGTCGTAGAGCTCGGGCATCCGCCCAAACGCCATGAGGGCACGAATGTAGTGCCGACACGGCAAGCCCATCTGCTTCATGTACCCGCACGTGCACGACCGAGAGCTGAGATCGACTCGGCGCTTGGCAGAGGCGTAGGCGTCTGGATCCTTGACGTATGCACGCGTCGAGGTACTCTCGTAGACCTTGTACCTCGGGGCCAACGCCTGCTGAGCGTCGATGAGTCCTTGAGCGTACGGCGTAATGACACGCCCTTGAGCGGCCCACTTCTCGGCGTCGCTGCGGTGGGCAAAGGCCGTCGTCATCATGTCTTCCATGTGGTGCATGAGGAAGTGGAAGGGGTCCATCTCGCGAGCCGGCAGGGCCTCGCTGTTCGTGGACTCCACAAAGTTTGTCGTGCGCCAGCCGTACAATGGCGTCGTGTGCAGGTGCGGATAGAGCGCCCACGTGTGGGGGTCGATCTTGTTGTAGTACGTGGCCGCCGCAGGCAGAGCTACGCCCAAGCAGCCCAAGGAGCTGCGGAACGCGGCCTCGGAGGCGCACCCTTGGGCATCGTAGATGATGCCTTGGAGGTCGGGCGTGAACGCGGAGCCGATGTTGTCCACGCCGTTGCAGATCAAATGCCGCGTGCAGTGGATGAGCATGAGGTCCTTCCAGTCGGAGGCTAGGATGCCCGTGCCACGATCACAGAAGACCGGCGTGCCGTCGAGCTCGATGTCGTTGGTCGTGCAGCAGTTGAGAAACCAGTCGTAGGCCGCTGCCGTCTCGGACGGCACCAGCGCCACAGCGAGAAGGACGTTGCGGTTGTTGCCGTCGCGCCCAACGAGGACGAGCATGGTTCCGTTGTAGGCGCGCGCCTTCATGTGCGACCCGTCGATGCCGACGACGCGTTGAAGACTTGGCTGCAACGAGCGTGCGATCGGGTTGCAGATGAACGCACCCCAGAAGATGCCCGCGTCTTCTCGCACACTGCAGGTCGTCGCGTTGAGCTTGCCGAACGTCTCCACCAGCGAGTTGATGAACTCGAAGCCTGCATGGGCCGCACTCTCGTTCGCCGCGATGCACGTGTCCTTGGCGCGGTACATCATCCGGGTCGGGACAATGACGCGAGCAACGTCGGCGACCTGGGCAATGACAGTCGGTGCGGAGGTACGGGGGTTGGCGCGAAAGGCCGAACGGGCTGTCGTGTTCGCCTCCACTTGGCGCTGCGTGATCTTGGTAGTGCCCGTGCAGCCGTGGTGATCCGTGCACAGCGCCGAGACGCGGAAGCCGCGTCGTTCCCCCATGAGCTTCGTCAGCTTCACCTTGAAGGAACAAGGTGTTGAACTAGAGCAGACGATGGCAACGTGCCGTCCGCCGCTTCGCTTGAGGTCAAGGACCGCGCGCTTGCCTTGTTGCAAAGCAAAGTCTTGGATGCCGTGGATGGCCTCGCGGCGCGTGGTAAAAGTCTTCTTGGGGTGGAGGGTTGCCATTCGAATGTGAGCCGCTCCTCCACCTGTTTCGTGAAAAATGCTTGTGAAAAATCACGTTTCTACGTCTACTTTCAATTTTTCACGAGACAATATGTCTATTTTCATTGCCAGCAATTTGATTTTTCACACAATATTTCCGCCAATCACCGTAACGGTGGGCCAAAGGATTGACCAATCAACGAGATGCGCATTCGTTGGTTTGTTCCGCACCATTGGGACCATGGTCAGGAGCGTCAAGCAGGCTGGTCCATCTCCCAAGGACGTCGCCTTTGTCTCTGTGCTTGGTCGTTTGGCGGGCTATGGTCGAATGCATGGCAAATTTAAGGGTGTACAGTAGCGCGTAGCATCAACCAACAATCCAAAAGTTTGGTATTGACGCGAGTCACTAGTCTAGGTCATCACGCAAGGTGGCAGTGCGCCCGCCTGGTCGCAAGCCCGCCCCGAGCTCACTTCCGAGTCCGAGCCGTAGCTTGAAATGTTGGTCGTTGGGGTGCTGGCACACTGTGCCAGCGTACAAATATCAAGTGTGTGTAGTTATATGGTGCTGGCACACTGTGCCAGCATACTAATACCAAGTGTTTAGATGAATGGGGTGCTGGCACAGTGTGCCAGTATACAAATACCAAGTGTTTGGATGAATGGGGTGCTGGCACACTGTGCTAGTATACAATTATCAAGTGTATTGACAAATGTCAAAACTGGGTGCACCCTGAGTGTCCAAAACTCAAGTTTTTGGCCACCCAGGGTGCACCCAGTTTTGACATTTGGAATCCAGTTTTGTCGGCAAAAGTTAAAAACCACCCAGTTTTGACATTTTCCCCAACATTATTACTTCATTGGAACCTCATTTGCCAGTAAAAAATATGATAATTGGTTGTTTACCCTTCTATCTGGCAACAAAACTGACACCTTTTTTTATAAGGAGTCATGTTTGCATATACCACAATACCTGCAGCCATAATGCAAACATAACTCTGATAATATATGCACTGTCCTTCAAGGACAGTGCATATATTATCAGAGTTATGTTTTTTGTTTGTTTATGTTTTTTGAAAAAAAAAACATAACTCTGATAATATATGCACTGTCCTTGCATTTTGGCTGCAGGTATTGTGGTCTATGCAAACATGACTCCTTGTAGAAAAAGGTGTCAGTTTTGTTGCCAGATAGAAGGGTAAACAACCAATTATAACATTATTACGTATTACATTTACTAATAATACATAAATAAAATCACATTATGGTTGGGCATTATCAACCCATCATTCCTTGGTTGGTAAAATGAGTACCGCTTTGTGGAAAGTCAGAAATGGTTGTATGATGGAGAGATTGATATGAATTGTGGCAATTTCCACCGACTGGGTGACTGCTGAAAATGATTTCTGTACCCAATGTTCATTTCAGGACGTTGACACTTTGACATTTAACTTGCACAATAACGTGTGCTCATAGAGTGAGAAATAACATTACTACTTGTGGACAAATAAAGCTCGCGCAAGATCATTTCACATCGCGGATTTCATTACCTCAACAAATGTCGTGTGAACTGAGGCGTGAAAGTTATTCAGATAGAAATATGTACAAACCGTTATGATAGTTTCCATTGACCTTGAATTTTTGTTAAACAGGCTTCCAGCCAAGGCCTGCGTTACGTGGGAAATATTTACGCATTTTTATTCATGATCGTGCTGGTTTAACACTCCAAAGTGTGAAATATCATAATGATACGATTCATGATCGGGAACTTCAAATTAGTTTATAGATATATATTTTTGAACAAATAAAATGCAAATTTTTAACAGGTTTACTTTCATGCAGTATGCATTGTTATTTTTTGTTTATCCACCCATAAGTTGTTTATTTTGAATAAATTACCATTATTAAGGTTTTTTTTCTACTAGTAGCAATTACATTTATTATAATAATTTACAGTCGTTAGTCAATCCACTGCCAGTCGAAGGCCTCTTCATACCACGTCACACATGGGGGTTGTTTGACCATACTTCACCACCATGGTCATTGTGG